CCAGCAGAGAGGGGAGTAAGGACAAGAAGCTGGCAAGAATCCCAGGCACTGTTTCTGCATCCTGGTCACAGGCCCCCGGGTGCAGACTTCACATCCGTTATCCTTCGTAAGCCGTAATCTTGAGAGATAGGGCCCTTGATGACCTCATTTACAGACAAGGAGACTGAGGTCAGAGGCTCAGCTATATATGCTGCAGGTAGGACCTGCCCCTGAGCCGTCCAGCTCCAAAGCCCAGAGTCTTAACCAAGGGCCAGGAGGCCTCCTATCAGCTGGCTAGGACCCCCATGGCTACGAGTTCTCTAGCACAGAGGCTGTGAGGGACCCAGCAGGGGAGTCTGGTGGGGTGTCTGGTGTGGCAGTCCGGGGGGACTCTTAGTGGCCCTGCAGGGATGGCTGCAGGCCTGTCCTGTGCAGTCTAACCGGAGCTCCCACCTGGACAAGCTGAAGTCCACAGAGACAGTTCTGGACCATCTGCGTCCTCCCCCTATGCCCTGTGACCCTCCCCGCACCCAGAGGAGGTGGCCTCAGGCTCCCCGCTGCGAGGGTTCAGGGAGATGAGAGTGGACAGGGAGAAGGCGAAGGGGCTGAGGCCCAGGGAAAGAGGAAGGATGGCCATGCCAGGCAGAAAGCCAGCCTGACTTCAGTCCTCAGACTGTAAACAGCAGGGGGCCTGCCTGTCCCCTCATCCTAAGGCAAGGTGGGCTGGTCTTTCACTGGCAGCTCACTTTCTGATACCCGTTTGTACGTTCTATCAGATGCTCCCGAGAACCCCACACAACATGGGGCAGGAGTAACTTCCTCCATCTTATTGATGGAGAAACAGATGGGAGCTATCTGTGGTCACCCAGGGGCATCTCCTGCCCCCTAGCCTGCCTTGTCCACTGCCCTCGCAGGGACAAAAAGGACAGTGCCCAGCCCACTTGCCTGGTTTCTCTGGGGGGTGAGTATTTTCTGAGCACTGCTGAGCTCTTTGGAAGAGGGACCAGGAGTTCCGGGAAAGGGGACAAGCAGGGTGGAGACTCAAGAGGCTCTGGGCTGCCGAGGACTGTCCTGGGGAGATCTCTATAGATCCCTCCGGGCAGCAAGACCCTCCAGATTCCTGTTCTGGGGCGGGTCAAGGGGAGAAACGAGGCCTAAGGTGGCCCCAGGCGACTGGGGGCAGAGTGCTGGGAAGTGCCAAGCCAGTACCTACAGCATTGAGGCTGGCCCTTCCCCAGAGGTAGGCTATCCAAAGGGTCCTTGTTCTTACCCAGGTGCTACTTTCCAAAGTTCTCAGGGATGTATCTGAGGGTTCTGAAAGGTTAAAACCCATGTGGCCAAGATCAACATCTTTGCCAGGACCTGGGGACCCTCGGAGCAGCCTCTGATGCCAAGGGTTGAGTATGCATATATGCGTGTATGTTTATGCATGTGTGTGTGTGTGTGTGTGTGTGTGTGTGTGTGTGTGTCTGGATGGAGGCCAGGGGGTTTGGAGAGCTGCATTTTGCTTTGTGACACATCTGGCTGGATCATTCTACCTGTCTCTTAAGGGAAGAGAGCAGCCCACACCCACTGGTGCCTCCAGGAGCTGGAGGGAGCAGGTTCTGCTGGAGTCTGGTTTAGCCCAGGGCAGGATAGGGAGAGGATTTGGCAACGCTTGGGAGATACCTCCTGGTAGCTGTTGGGCCTCGTCCTCCCCTTCTGCTACTCCCTCTCCCAGTCACAGGCCTTAGGGTCTTATTCTTGGCCAGCAGTCAGGGTGGAAGCCCTGGGACACACAGAAGGGGCAGGGCAGGGGAGAGGGGCTCGGCAGCAACCGCTAAGTAAGCTGCTAAGCTAACTAGCAGAGTGACTTGGACTTTAGGCAGGAGACTTAATGCTCTCCCTCATTAGTTAAATCGGGCTCATTATAACCCTCATCTCTTCCTGTTGTTGTAATGATTAAATCACACAATAGATACTATAGTTAAAGTGCTTGGCCCGCAGTGTCTGGCACATGGCAAGAGCTGAATAAAAGAAGTGTTAATTCGGTGCTAAGGCTGCTGACCAGGGGGATCTGGGCAGGGAATTCTGCAAACCCCTCAAATCACACCAGTTCAGTCCAGTTCCGGGATGCTGGCCCCCAAAGTGGGAAGGTTGGAGGGGGCTGCCAGTGCTCTGAAAAGGACACAGTGAAGCAGCGAAAAGAGGCCGTGGGACAAATGGGATAGGTGTGCCCAGAAACCAGGAGCAGTGGGTAGCTCCTGCCACCTCTACTGGGGCAAGCTCCAGGCCGGCTGGGTTCCAGGAAAGAGAGAGACATGTAGGGTGTGGTGTGGGGTGAGGAGCTACAACCCGCTAGGGATGATTTAGAAATTGTTCCAGTAAAATTCTAGGCAGAGCCAAAAAATCAGACCATACCGCACCTCTAAGCAGGGCAGGGCACCCACAGCTTGCTTCCTGGACCTTTCTGCTATCTTTTCAGAACCTTCCACCCTCTGCCCCAGCTCCCCATCCCCGTTTCCCCTCACTCGTTCCAGCATGGCCCACTCTGTCCCCAGCTTCTATGGCTGGAGAGGCTGGGCCATGAGAGCCCAACACTCCCTTTCTCAGCAGCACCCAGAGGGGCTCCCCTTGAATGCAGAACTCAAAGGGTTAACTTTGGTATGTTCCTTTGTCCCAGAAGCCGGTGTGCAAATCCACCCCAGGCCCAGGGACCCTCGGCCGAGACAAAACTGCTGCCCACTTGGCCTCTCTCCACAGCTCCTCAAGGTCCAGACCCAGTGGACCCACCCAGGCCCCTGGCCTGAGTCAGAAACAGACGCAGGGCTTAAATTTAGGCAAGGGCTCTCCCAGCCTTTCTGCTCCCTGCAAAGGAGCCAGGATTGACCACGTAGTGGAGGAATTAAAAAAAAGCAAGCAAACCACTGTCCACTCTCCCTGGGAAGGCCAGCTCCCCGTGCTGGGTCTTCTCAGGGCGCTGGCGGAGGAATGAAGCCCACGCTGCATCGCCCCCGGTGGGGCTGGGGGCTCCTTGCCAGAGGGGATCTCCACACCCTCTCTCTCTCAGCCCAGGGACACAGGAGGAGGGGAGGAGAAAGAGAGAAAGTGTGTGTGAAAGAGAAAATGACACAGAGGCGGGGAAGCTGAGTCAGGCCTGAGCTGCCTGATGTGCTGACAAGGAGCCAGGAGCCGGCCCTCGGGGAAGGGGGGGAAGGGAGGCAGAACAGATTGGCGGAACTTGATCCCCTTGTCTCCTGCAGTGACAGGGCCAGGGTCAGGGAGACTTGAACCTGCAGCCCAGGGAGACTAGCAGGACCCTTCCCCAGAGCAGGGCTGGCAATGTGGGATCTGCCTGTCCCTAGCCAGCCTCAGACGACAGCCCCCTCCCCTCCAGGACGATTCCTTCTTGCCACTCCACCCTGAGGGCTGCCTCTATCCAGCCCTGCTCACCTCTCTCTTGAGAGTATTTTCTTTCTAACATTCAACACCTAAGCCAGGCCCACAGAGGCTGGCCCCAAGGACCCCTCTTCTCGGCCCCTTTCAGTACTATCCATTGGCCACTGAGCCCTGAGCCAGAGGGACCGCACGCAGCTCACTCTCTGGTCCTGCCTCATTCCCACCCCCTCCTCGCCTCCCACGGCAGCTCCTCCTTTTTCAGGACAAGGTCTTGACTTCACCAGCTTCCAGGGTCCTTGTCCTCAAGCTGGCTGTCTCCCCCTCTGTCCTGTCCACGTGCAGAACAAGCCTAAGTCCCCAGAACTTCCAGAGAAGTTGCCATTTGTACCAAGACCCCCCACCCTCGGCCCCTGGCCTGCACCATGAGTAGTCGTGGCCGAGCCTAGGGGGTCAAGGTCAGGAGACCAGGTTCCAGCAAGCCCTCTGGAGCTCGGACACTGTCTGGCCTGAGCAAGCCTTTCCCCTCCCTGGCTTTCTGTTTCTGTTTTAGTTATGTGCCTCCTTGAAGAGGACGGGGCACGGAAAACCCATCCCGGCCTCTCCAGTACAGCACCCAAAGGCATCTTTGCCATGGCTGACGGGCTCCCCCAGAGGCAGTGGCAATTCCCATGTGACAGTTGCCATTTCTGAGTTCCTGGGGTCAGGGCCTCAGGAGTCCTGGCTACACCGGCCCAGTAGATAGTCAGTCCCCACCTCTCCTCTGGTCACCTGTGTTCCCTGGGTGTGCTTCCTGCATCTCCCCCTGTTGTAATAACTGTTAATGGGGGGAGTCTGTCATCCCCACCAGGTTGTGAGCTCCCTGGGGGCAGGGGCCTGACCTGTTTGCCTCTTGTCGCCAGTGTCCAGCATAGGTAGGGGACATTCATGGACATACACACTTGTGTCTATTCCAGGAGGAAATGGCAACACGATGTCGGGATAGGCCCAGGTTGGAGGGAAATGTCACCCAAGTCTAGTTCCCTCCAGAGCCCCGGGCCACGCTGCTTCTCCCCCTCCCCACTGAGGGTTCCACTTCTACCTGTGACCACTCAGCAACTCCAGGACTCCCCTACCCATCAAATAGGGTCTGCTTAATCAGAGCAAGACGCCGGCCTCTGAGCACCAAGAGAAGTTTGTCCTTGGGCTCAGCAGACAATCGCTGCAGATGGCCCAGCCCCGTCTCTGCCTGGCCTCAGCAGGCCCTCTAGGCCCAGATCAGCCGGTGACTCTTGCGAGGGACTGCTGGTGCCTGGGGCACCTCTGCCTTGTACACCGGTCAAGCGGGACATGTCTGGGCCAGCTGGCCCTGTCATTGTGCCCTCCTCAGCTCCAGGGGTCCTTGTGGGAGACCTCCCTCTTCTTCTCTGGGATGTTTGGGGCCTGGCCCTGCACAGACCTCTCCCTGTGCAGTTCTCTCGCACTCACTACAACCTCAGCCCAGGTTTGCTGCCCCATGTCACGTCTGTGAGCTGTGGGCACCTCCTTCCCTGTCCTTATCTTCCCTGGGCAAATGTCACGAAGAACCACAGCCTTTGCCTCCAAGCACCCTCTCCTCAGCCCCGGGAAACCCTTCTCATCATCCCACCCCGTCCTGTGCCAGCTACCTTGTCCCAGTCCACCACTTTGAGCTTTGGCTCCATTGCAGGGTCTGTCTCCTGAGTGTTCACAGAGGCTACAGCCCCATTCTCCACGGAACCCTGGAGAGAGAAGATACAAGGTGATTAGCTACAGTGAATGAGGGAAGATAGCCCCCAGCCGTCCTGCGATGAGGCAGCCAGGAGTGGTGAGGGCCCCATGTTGGGGCAGGGTGGGCAGAAATCAAGGGGACTGAGCACATTGAAAACAGGCAGACACTGATGTGGGTGGTATTAGTCTCTGCACTTTTCTTCTCCCTTAAAAAAATAATTTCTGCAAAAACAAGAGGCAGAAAGATTTGGGGGAGAAAAGAAGCTGGCAGAGACTGTAAGGAAATGAGAGCTGTTAGTGGGACTGCTCTGGGCCCTGCCAGCCTCCCCCAGGTCCCTGGCAGGTGTCAGGCAGACGGAGTCACAGGGAGTCACCTGGCGGGCTCACTGTGGCATGCCCGATGACTACCCCACCTCCCTCCCTCCCTGGTAATTCAACAGAGCCTGTGGGTCACAGGCTGGGGCATTGACATCCACGTGCCCACAAGAAAGAAAGGCAGCAGAGAGTGAGGGAGATGGTTCCTCCAGGAACTCCCAGTGTGGGTCAGCAGCCACACTTGGGGCAGAACTGGCAGAGGAGAGCCCAAATGGGCTCAAGGTTAAATCGAAGAGCAAAGAGGCGGAGTCAGAAGGAAATGGAATGTGCAGGGAAAATCACATGGCCTCAGCCGGCCCTGACGTCACATGGGGTGAGGCCGGAGAGGGCAGGCCAGCACGTAAGTAAAACTCAGGCTTCCCTGCAGGAAGGGTGGGGAGAGCAGCTGCCAACGGGGGGCCTGCCCTCTGCATCCCTGTGACTAAAGGAAACCGTGGTGCTGGCGGCCACGGAGGTGCCCTTGGAAGCTGGGCATTGGCGAGAGCCTGAGGGGACTGAGCAGTCAGCTGGGGTTTCTATTGTCACGATTCTTACATTTTTGCTTCCAAATGAACCAAGAGAACCTGATGGTAACAGTGATGCTGGCATTTTCTGGGAAAACCCATATGTAACCCAAATAAAAGGAAGCTTTCAGAGTCCTTCCTGTCTTGGTCTGGGTACCTCAGTTTTTGTTTTTTTTTTCTGAGGAAGACTGGCCCCAAGCTAACATCTGTTGCCAATCTTCCTCTTTTTGCTTGAGGAAGATTAGCCCTGAGCAACGTCTGTGCCAGTCTTCCTCTATTTTGTATGTGGGTCGCCACCACAGCATGGCTGACGAGTGGTGTAGGTCTGTGCCTGGGATCCAAACCCACAAACCTGGGCCGCCAAAGCAGAGCGTGCTGAACTTTAAGCACTATGCCACAGGGCTGGCCCCAAGTATCTCAGTATTTTCAGCCTGAATTCCTAAAACAGGATCTCTGATGATCTCTTAAGGACAAAGAAGAGCGGATTTTATAGCATATCATACAATGAAACGCCCTAAATATCCAGTGTAAACATCATATAATAATCTTGTTCTTTCCAATTCTGTTCTACCCTCAAAATACTCCAGAGTGCCCCCGTCACTGAGCTATTGAGTCACCTTCCCCCCTGGACAGTTCTTTTCTCCTGGTCACCCAAAGTCCTTTCTTAAGGAGGGTGATCTAATCCTTCTCTGCACTCCCAACCCCTCTCCTTGCAACTCTACCCATCTCGCTCAAAAAAAGGCTCATCTTGGGGCCCACTCATCCCAAGCAGAGAAGGAGTTATCATGTATTATTATTATTATTATTATTATTATTATTATTATTATTTGGTGAGGAAGAGTGGCCCTGAGCTAACATCTGCACCCATCTTCCTCTATTTTGCATGTGGGACACCGCCACAGTATGGCTTGATGAGCAGTGTAAGTCCGCGCCTGGGATCTGAACCTGTGAACCCAGGCCGCTGAAGCGGAGCATGCCAAACTCAATCACTACACCACCGGGCCTATCCCTATCATGTATTATTATTTAATGTTTTTGTCTATGCTACACTTTTTAGACATCCCTCAGTGGCAGACACAGATCTGTTTTGGGCACATCTGCTGGAACAACCACTGGAAGCAGAGGAAAGGGTCATTGCTTCTCGGCACTGGGCACAAAGCACTCATCTATTCAACCCACTCTTCTGCTCACTCGTCTGGACTGTTTCCTGAGAGCTCCAGTCCTTGGGAAAGCCTCCCTTCTGCTCAGCTGGCTGCCTCAGTTTCCACAGATCACTCCTGGTTCTTCCCCTCTAGGACTATACAGGCTCTTTCTTTTTCACGTGGGAGACTTATACATATATGTGGACAACCAGTACCCCCACCCCCTGCCATCTGCTCTTCCCCAAGACCCTCTTAGGACACAACAGGGTCCCTAAGTACAACAATTGGTCCATGTTCCTTTTCCAAGGCAGGGAACCAGGGCAGAACCCTGCAAGGCTCATGCCTCCCTCGTAGGGAATGTCATATTTCAGGTCATGGGAACTGAGCCCCCATTGGCCCTGCTGGCTGCCATCCTGCACAGCTCATTCACTTAGCTTATGGCCACCTGAAGCCTTTTTTGTGGACTACTGCTGCTGGTGTAGTGAGGAGAGCTGGTGTGGTCCAGGAGGTGATTTGGACCTGCAGACCTGTTCATTGGAGGGTCACAAAAGATGTGTGATGAAGACTGGGATGCCCAGAGGGGTGATGAATGGGAGAGCAGTAGGCAGTGGAAACCAGAGAAAGCCTGAGAAAAGGGATATTAAAGAGAAGTTTGCAGGGATGTGGAGCCCTGGCTCCATATCAGCCTCCTCTTCAGGAGCTGGTGGTCCCAGTGAAGTATCACTATGTTCCCCTCCCTTGTCTCTCAAGTCTTCCTTCCTACAAGGATCTCATCCATAGTTACTGTTTTCATCACTCAACCACTGCCATACATGTTTGAACATCTGCAGTGTGTCAGAGCAACAGCTCAGAAGACTCTCCAACATCTCTCTCTGACACTGGCCCTACTCCTTGCCCCTGGAGAATGTTTCCAACTGCCCACATCATAGTCTGACCCAAAAGCCCTGCTGTCCCCTCTGATATCACATTCCTAAAAGTGAACTTACTATGGTCCTCTGCAGATCAGCTTAGCCTTGACTTCTGACGTATGACTATATTTTAAGTCTTTCCCCCGTATCCTATATTCCCAAACTCCTCTCCTGTTATACATTTGGATTAACCCTAATTTTTCCCTCTAGTCAGCATGGACTTGCCATTTTCCAAACATGCCTTGCATTTTCCTTCGTAAATGTCACCCTGTCCAGGATGACGACAGAGGTTAATATTCACAAATGCTTACTATGTGCCCAACCCTTTAATCATCATAACAACTGTATGAAGTAGGCACAATCATTATTCCCACTTGACAGATGAGAGAACCTAGGCATGGAGCAGCCCCACAGCTAGCAAGGGGTGGAGCCAGCAGCTGGACTCCAGAATATTCTCTTGACTACCATGTACTTTTTCCCTAACCATTCTAGCCAGAAATGATCTCTTCATTTTCCAACTTTAAAGCAAATCATACATTCCATGTGTCCCACTGCCTCAGTCGGTATTTATAATTTCTTGCCTCTTCTTTTTGTATGTTTGTGCAATTATCTCGTTTGTCCAATGGTATTATAGATTCCAGTAGGGCAGGTAACCACTGTTTCCTCTTTCTCAGGGGGCCTAGGACTGGCTGTTGAAAATATTAGATGCTCCACTCATATCTCTTGAGTGGACCATTTTCAATGTTGGATCTTTGCAAAACAGCCAGGGTCCCCTGAGACTCCTGCAGTGCAGTGGGCTTGGCTGCTGGGGACAGAGCTCTGAAGCTCTGCAGGGTTCATGCTCCTTGGGAATGTAAAACAAAAGGGGTGGACACGTCTGCTTAGACCGGCGGGGTGGCCCAGGATACTGAACACACCATCTTAGAAGGCCACTCTGGGCTGCATAGGACAGTGCTCAGATACAAGGTTCAAAACTACAATAATCTGGGCCATAGATTCTCAGTGCCCTTTGGCCACACACAGGACAGGCATGAGCAGAACTGAAAGTACATGAGACCGATACCAGAGTGGCATCATTTTATTTTGCCAAATAAAAATACTTAAAAAACAATTACCATCAGCAGCATTTCATAAATGAAAGGACACTTCAATACCAAATAGGTAGGAAACACATACTTTCAGAATAAAAGGCAGTTCTTCCCAAGGAAGGGCATCTGGCAACTTTACACTGACATTTAAAAAAAAATATGTTCTATTTAAAAATGTTTATTAACGCAGAAAAATTACAACTTAAAATTTTCTGTGAGCATTAATCGTACATAATTGTTTTCTTGGTTCAAAGTGGTGGATGTGGGGCTCTAAAATCTATGTGTAACAGGAAGTAGATCAAATGTTCACTTTGTTCCAATTCTGAAGTTTTCTTAAAAATATTACTAAAAAATCCACTCTTGCAGAGATGTTGGCTAAAAATGGAAACAGAATTTTTAAAGTTTTTTCGTTCAACTGGAAATCTTCCAGGTGAAATGAGGGAAGTGGAGGAGCCCCGTGGCTCTCTGCCTCCCTCCTGAGAGCCAGGAGGAAGGAGAACGGCTCACACCCAGGGCCTAGCTCACTGGCTGGCACCCCTAGCACGGAGCAGTCAGGGATTCTCTCAAGGTAGCTCCCTTGACCCATGGACCAGTGCCGGTCTGAGGGCTGGCACTGGGGGCACACCGTCTATGGAGGATGAGGAAGAGAAGGGAGTAGGCACCATTTCCTCCTCTCTCTTTTTTTTTTTTTTTGCTGGGAAAGAATCCCCCTGAGCTAACATCTGTTGCCAATCTTCCTTTTGCTTTCTTTTTTTCCCTCCCGAAAGCCCCGGGACATGGTTGTATGTCCTAGTTGTAAGCCCTTCTAGTTCTTCTGTGTGAGCCACTGCTACATCACGGCTTCGGGGGTATGACAGACGGGTGGTGTGGCTCCGTGCCAGGGAACCGAACCCAGACCTCTGAAGCGGAGTGCGCCAAACTTTAACCACTAGGTCATCAAGGCTGGCTCGTGTTTCCTCCTGTCCTTCACTCTCCTTCTGCTGCCCCAGCTTAAT